AGAAGAGAGAAAGAATGGGACAGTAAAATTATTTAAAGAGATAACAGCAAACTGATTAGAGACTTTAATGCACAAATACAAAAATTACTAAGAATCCCAGCAGGGTTGACCGCAAACAAACAGCAAAAAATAATCAATAATGCCACACCTGGGGACATCACAGAAAAACTGATAAAAATTAAAGACAAGGAGAAAATCCTAAAAGCAAGCAGAAGAAAAAAAGATATTATCTTCAAAGGCATGATAATAATGTTGGTTAACGGCTGATTTTTCAACAGAAATGATGGTAACATGAAGACAATGGAAGAATGTTTTAAAGTACTGAAAACCCCTCAAATACAGAATTACATACTCAGAGAAAATGTCATTCAAAAATGATGGCAAAATTAAGACAGCTTCAGATAAATAAAAACTGACAGTATTTTTACTAACAAACCCTCACTTTTAAAAATGCTAATGAAAGTTTAACTGGTATTATACGAAAACAATGAATCGTGGATCACTACATCAAAAACTAATGACGTATTGTATGGTGACTAACATAACATAATAAAATTAAATTAAAAAAAAAAGAAAGTTTAACTGGGCAGAAGAAAATAATCCCAGATGAAAGCATGTTAATGTAGGAAAAAAATAAAGAACAATGCAAAGGTAAATGTGTGGGGAAATAAGAATGAATACTGACTGTCTAAAATAACAAAAATAATATCTAACAGATCTTTTAAATATGTAGATTAAAATGCATGACAACAATAACACAAAGGATGTAAGGGGGTAAATAGAATTAAAATACAATAAGGAACCTTAACTATACAGTATTGTATTTACCCAAAACAAATGGAAACAAGTCCACAAAATGACCTGTATACAAATAAATGTTTATAGCAGCACTATTAGTAAGATCCAGAAACTGGAAACAATTCAAATGTCCATCTACAGGTGAATTGATAAACAAATTAAATGGAATATTACTCACCAAAAAAAATGAAATAAAATAAAATAAAACAAAATAAAGTACCGAAAGACTATAAACTATGGATAAATCACACAGATATTATATTGAGCAAAAGAAGTCAGAATTAAGAGTACATACTATATTGTTCCATTTATATGAGGTTCTAACCAAGTGAAATTAATTCACAATGCTAAAAGTCAGGGTAACAGTTATCCTTGGAGTATCAGAAACTGGAAAGGGGCAGAAGGGGGCCTCTGGGAGGTTGGTAATGTTCAATTTCTTGATCTAGTGGTAGACTACATCAAAGTGTTCACTTCATGGAAATTCATCAAGCTCTATACTTAGGATTGTATATTTTCTATATGTATTTCCAAAAGACATTAAAAATATATTTCAGACATACAGAAGGTTATATAAAGAATAACAAGACTGTATCACCTATTAAAATTAGAAACAAAACATTACGGGTATAGTTGGTAAGCGTGTTACTCCCTCATTACACCCCCACCCCCACCCAGAGATAACCACTCCCATGAGTGAGGTGTTCACCATTCCTCTGCACTTTTTTCCTTTACTCTTTATATAAACTCACCTAAACAATGTATATATAGCACTCTTTTGCATGTTTTAAACTGCATGTAAAATATAATTTGATTTCTATTTTTATTTTTTTCAAAGATTTATTTATTTATTTGAGAGAGAGAGAGAGCGAGTGGGGAGAGGGGAAGAGGGAAAGAATCTCAAGCAGACTCCCACTGAGTGCAGTGCCCCACCCAGGGTTCAAAGATCTCAGGACCCTGAGATCATGACCTGAGCCAAAATCAAGAGTCAGACACTTAACCAACTGAGCCACCCAGGCGCCCCTGATTTCTAGTTTTAAAAGATCATTCTGAAAGGGGCACAAGGCAACTTTCTAAAATTATAAAAATATGCTATATCCCAATTGGAGTGTTGGTTACATGAGTACAGACATTTGTCAGAACACATCAAGCTATGCATTTAATATCTGTGCATTTCACTATAGGTAAATGTTATCTCACTTAAAACAAATTTTTTTAGAAGAGATCATTCTAGCTACTTCATGAGCAATGGATGAGGGATGGATAGAAATGAAACCAGGAAGGCCTGTTAAAATACTTTAGTAGACCTGAGAGTGCCAAACTCATCTACCTGAGGAGGAAGGAAATAAAGACAGCTTGTGGGCACAGTTCTTTGAGCAGCTTAACTGTGAACTGGAGAAGTAACTGAAGAGAGAAGTAAGGCCAAAGGAAAATAGAAGATCAAGCTTGACCTAGTTGAGAGGAAACACTGAAGACAAAGAAGAGAAGAGGGATCAAGGAAGGAACAAGATCCTTGAGATGAGAGGGGGTGGGATGGGGAGCGCAGGTGGTTTGGTCTTTGCCAGGGTACAATGTCTTCTCGCCTTTTAACTGGACAGAAATAAAAAGGGAACAGATGTAAGAAAGACTGTTTGGTAGTGGAGAGATCATGAAGCTCCCATCCAATGACTGCTACTTCTTCAATGATCATGAATCATCATCTGAGAAGGATGGGGAAGGGAATGTTGAAGACTCTGCAGAAGAACAGCATGGAATTGCATTTGAAAAGGCTAGAAAAGCATTCCTGTAAGGTGGGGTGTGGTTAAGAAAAATCAAAGGTTCCATTTTGGACACGTTAAATGCTCAAAAGATATCCAAACTCTCACAATACAGTAAGAGCTCAAAGGCAGGAATACTATTATTCATCTTTGATTATGCTGCACAAAGTACACTGTAACCTAACCTTGTATTCAAGAGGGAATGAATAAATGAAGATGAAAATTTTTCATATTTTCTTAGCACATTTGTATATCATTGGTCATATTCTACAATAAAACTGAAGAAAACAGTCTCCAGAAGTAATTCACCTTAGATATCAAATGCATTTTCCTTTTTCTCATTTTTATTTTTGTGTGTTCTTGGAAGAAAAGCAATTTATATCTTCCAGTGTTATCAATTCTTCATTTTATCTAAAAAAAAAAAACTATGTTCATCCTCCAAAATAATTTTTTAAGCAGAATTCACCAATGGAGCAATTCTCATAGGAAATAAAGAGATAGACTCTATAACCCTATATTACCACAATTTGTGACAATCGTAAGGATATACTGGATGAAGAAACTGGAAGCTCTTGCCAAGAAGGATTAACCTCTGTCATCAAGATATTCCTGCTGCTTGCTGGTAAGTCACATGTGCACACTGAGTGAAGAAAGCCTTTAGCTCATGTATAGGAATCTCAGGGTGGTCCCAAGGCAAACCTGAATGTGCCCAGCAGGACAGAAGCAGGACAGAAGCACTGGCTGGGCTAGGAGATGAGTTAGGATACTGTGCTGTTTACCTATCATTTATCAATTATGAAAGGAAAAAAATTATAAATGCATTTCTTGCAGCATAAATTTATATGTGTTGTACTACACTAAGTTCCATTTAAAAGGACTCCATTCATGCAAGAAGCGCCGATTTGGTTGGCTTAGCAGTCCAATTTTTATGCTTACAATTCATTTATATACTTACTATGTATATTGAATGCACTCTCTTATTTCCTGTTGCCACAGCCAGACTGTGAGTGCATATGTTTTTGTCATTCTTAACTACAGTAATTCAGAACTTCAGCTGTCAAGTTCTGAGCTAATATTCTCATATATACCATCCGTGCACTACTCTTAAAAATAATTCCTTGTTTGCTCTCAGAAGCTCCTACCTAACATGATATATAAAATGGCAGGGTCAATTCTTTAAAAATAACCTAGATCTTTAAACGCAGCTACAATATATTTTTTCCTTGAAAATATCCCCTTTCCTATCATTCTCTTTATTCAGTAATTATAAACTCTGGTCAAGCACTAAAACAGGACAACATGTTAAATACCAACAAATCACAAATAGCAGTGTTTACAGGGAGGAAAAGGAAGAAAATCTCAGTTTCCTGCTAAACCATCCTTTGAGGCACTGTCATTTTAAGTGTGGAGGCATCAATCATTTCTTCTATGCTGAAGGGTTTACACATTTAAAGGTTCTGTAGGTCCACAAAGAAAATGAGCAATACCAGTCCTGTTCAGGTTTTAAAACACCAGCAGAATTATGTGGATGAACACTAAGGTTTACTATTTCAGTTTCAAGAGAAACAGAGTTATCAGGTGGCCAAAGAACATTGGAACCATCCTTCGAGTTGTCAGTTGCACAGTGTTTCAGGGACCAAAGACTAGCTCCATTGCAGCATCCTGTAATCCTAGAGTCTGAAGAAACCTCAGGGATCTCCTAGCCCAATCTGACACCCAAGAATTTTACCGGAATTTTTCCCCCAGTATCTCTGACAGATGGTCAGCCTCTGTTGTAATTACTCCACTGGGGAGTTCTCAAGAGAAGATTCTCAAGGGATATGATGAAAGGCTAGAACCAACCATTCAGACAGGGAGGAAGGCTCCAGTCAGCAAGCCTGCAGGACCCAGACAGCGTTTCCAAACACTAAAATCAGACGTCCAGGAGAATGAGATTCAGAATCAGCAATCATAGGGGTGCAACGTTTAGACATGTAGAACCCCCATTTCTGGAACCCTCCTCAGTCCCCTGCCTGGGGGCAGCTCCCACAATCTGGAAGCAAGAAGGCTTTTCAACGACTGATTTCTTAAAGTAAGAAATGACACTTTCAGACTCACAGCAAGGGTTTGTCGAGCTCAGAAAGGATCAAATCCGTTCCTTCTAAAAACCAAGCCAAGGGACCCCGTGCTGGAACTGCTAATGCTTAAAATACTTTAACTTTGGTCTTAAAGCCCTCACTACAGTAAACTAGAACATTTCGGGCTCTTTTTTTAAAGGTGTATATAGGCTATACTGTAACTGTAGTTGCTCGGTTGGTGTAGGGTTGATGTGTGGGGGTTGATGTTTTAGGCGCAGCCCTTCATCCCGCCGAGGAGTCTGGCTTATCCTCCCCGGAAAGGCGAGCGCTCGCGGTGGAGCTGCCAGCACATCCGCAGCCGGACCCCGGGACGGGGCGGCCCGGCCCTTACCTGTCGATGCTGATCACGCACAGGGTCATGATCGAGGCCGTGCAGCACATGACGTCCATGGCGATGAAGACGTTGCAGAAGAAGTGGCCAAAGATCCACTTGCCCCCGATGAGGTCGGTGACGCTGACGAAGGGCATGACCGCCACGGCCACCGAGAGGTCGGCCAGCGCCAGGGACACGATCAGGTAGTTGGAGGGCTGGCGGAGCTTCTTGACGAAGCACACCGAGATCACCACCAGGCAGTTGCCGGCGATCGTCAGCAGCGTGATAAGCGTCAGGATGGAGCCGATCACAACTTTCTCGGCTCTGCCGTAGTTGATCTGCTCCCCGCAGCCAGAGGCATTGTCCGGCGGCGCGTCCCAGGTGGGCACCGGGCTGGCCGTCACCTCTGGGACCCCGCGCAGCAGGTGCGGCGCCCAGGAGCCCGAGACCGGGCCGGCGCCGTCGGGGCTCAGGTCCGGCAGCCCGCGCCCCACCTCCGGCAGGAGCAAAGAGCGGAGGTGCCCATAGAGGTCCGGGCGGCCGCTGCTGTTAACGTCCATCATCGTGCCGCTGTGCGCTGCTGCCCATGGAGCCGGCGCCCCCGCCACGCGCTCCGGCCGCCGGCCCGGGGGGCTTCACCTCGCGGGTTCCGCTCCGCCCGGCCCAGCCATGGAGCGCGCGCCGGCCGCTGGGGGGCGCCTCGGCTCGGCCTCGCGGCCCCGCACGTCCCAGGGCCCCAGCCGCTGCGGACCACGCGGAAGCGCGGCCGCGCCGAGACTCCCTGCGGGAGGCGCCTCCGGCACCGACGGACGTCCGCGACGCGCAGCTCGCGGGCCCGCGGGCACGGCTCGGCTGGCCGCCCCGCAGCCCGCAGCGCGCACCAACCGCGCGCTTCGGCCGAGCGCGCCCAGGAGGCAGCGGCAGAAGTTGCGGAGTGCGCCCCGCCCCTCGCGCCCGCCGCCGCCGCCGCCGCCGCTCCCCTGCGGCAGCCACGCCGCGTCCCCGCCGCCGCCGCCGCCGCCACTGCCGCCACTGCCGCTGCCCGCGCCCCTCGGGCTCCCGGGACGGGCTTCCCCGGCTGTGCCCGGCCGCCGCCTCTCCCGCGCCTCCCTGCCGGGCGGGGGGCGGTGCTCCCCGCGCCTCCCCGGATCCCGAGCCCGTTCGCTCACGGATCCCTCTGTGCGGCTGGAGGCGCAGACCCCCTCCGACAGACTCGAGCGTCCTCACAGAATGAACGACACTTGGATGGGGGAGGACTCGGGGGCCGGCGGACGCTCGGACTCATTGCAAAATGAACCTGGAGAGGATTTTTTTTTTCTTAATTAAAAAACCTTTTGGAGCACTACACCAAGCAACAAATAGATACTTCCGTTTCCTATTTTGCCCACTTAAGAGAAAGCGAAGATAGAAAAGGAGAAGCAGCCGAATGGGGTGGGGGTGGGAGCTCAGAAGAAAGCAGGGAGAGGGTGGGATGCCTTCAGGATTTGGCACCCAGGAGGAGCTGGGGGCTCTGGGGAAGGGACCAACACGGGGCTTAAACCCATTGTGACTAACCCTCTAGCGTCTGGAAACGGGCCTCTCGGGCTCTGAAAATAGACCCGGGCTGTTTTTATATTCTGACTTCAAAGCTTAATATACTGAAATGAGGGTTAATTTTCCCGTGGTATTCTGGAAATCTTGCCCGTAAGCGAAGAAATGACCGGTTATAATGTTCTGCAGAAGAATCCTGGAGGTGTATGTAGACTTAGTGCCTATTGCCTAAAATCCCCTTGGTATTCAAACCCTGTCAGAGTGGCTGATTTTTATTATTTGTGAGACTTACTTCACTCCATTTTGTATAAAGGTTTTATTGGAAACCAGCAGTGATTTCTTTAAAGAGTCTAAAAATAATCAAATCTGTTTTCTTTTCTAGTTAGGCCCTAGCAGATTATAAATAGGAAGAAAGGGAACAGAAATCTCAAAATGTATTGATCTGAGAGCTGAATAATACTCTCATTCTTCAAGGTGGGTATTAGCCCTATTTTTCCAGATAAGGAAACACAGTTGCTACTGCATTCAGCTGGTAATAGGTTTCGAACTGAAGTTTATCTGATTAGTATGCCCATATTCTTCCCTCTACACATTCAAAAACAGAATTTTTTAAGTAAAAAAAAAAAAAAATCCCTACATGGTGGGCTAATGGTCACTATTTATGAACATGTCAGGGTCTCTCCTCTGAAATAAGCAGATCAATATATTGAGTCAGAGGAAGGGTGGAAGATAGTTACATAGGCCGCAAAGCAATACTATTTAGTAGTTAAGAAAATGGATGAGGAAATGTCTTCAATCTTACTTAATGTTAGTGTTAAACATAATTTCAGATAAAAGAAAGCTAGTTTGCAGCTGGAAGGCATCTAAGAAACCATTTGTTTACCCTTCAAGACAGAGAGGGAAATAGAGGTTGAGAGCAGTTTAATGACTTAGCCAAGATCATATATGACTACACTGAAATGGTTCAATTTTCTGGTTTTGAGTTTAGAATTGTCTCAAGGACTCTTAAAAATTCTTTAAGGGGGTAATTTCACAAGCTACTTTTGACTTTTCTTATTTTAACTCTTCAATCATTTTAACTTATTTTGACTTTCCTCTTCTTTTCCCCCCCTGAGTAATCAGGCTAACTTACATTCTGTCTTGGCTCTCGTAAATAATATCCCACATTAATGAATTATACAAAGAATTTAAAAGCAATAGTTTTATTATTTGAATCTACAGTTAATATAATTTGCCACCTACACTCCTACCAGCTCTTAACCCGGGCTACTTATTTCATAGCAGCTTCTGATGTTTTTTGCATTCACTTTTTCATTGTAGGACACCAAATAATCAGTAAAATACTACTTTCAAATTGACTTCCTCTTCCATTTTCCATATAGCATCAGGTCCAAACTCCCCTTTTTATAGAGCAGTCACCTCTATCACATTATCCTTGGTGATGGCTGGGTGTATTTCCTTAGAGTTGCTAGGTTTTTAATTTATAAGCTGTCACAATGCATAAACATGGTTATTGAAAATCTCTGCTTCTGAAGCATTACCTTGCTTATGTTGAGTTTAGATTTCATCTATCATTATTCCAGAATCCTGACAGAACTATCGGGAATTCTTTGTTTCCCTCTAACCTTGACTAACAAATAATCCTCTCTTCATAAAAACGCTAAAAATCTCATGTATATGTTTCCATAATTTTCTTGTAATGAAAAGCTAAAGGTAGAGCCTCATGAAATGTCCATAAAATACCTAAACACTCACCTAAATGTGTTATTTGTTTTGTCCTTGGTTTCCTAGTGTTGAAAATCCATACCAAGGTGTTGCTTCCCTCATCCTCCCCCTGCCCACCCACTCTTTAGCAGTTAAACTGGAGAGAATAAGAGAAGTGTTGGCATTTAAATCAAATTGTGTTGTTCGTTTTCATCCCTTTTATTTCTTTTACTTAAAAAATAACTCTGCTGCTTTAAGAAGTATGAAACCTGTCTAGACTCTCACTTCCTATAACAGCAGTCTCATAAAATTGTCAATGAGGGCACTTGAGACTATAGCTTTCCGATGTTTCCAACTGGTAATCTCCCTCTCTCAAAACTGCTCTGGGGTAGTAGAGAAGAGCAGCCGAGGCCTACAACATGAATTACCGTCTTTTTATAAGCTCTTCCTCCCTCTAGGTACTCATCTAGCTCATCCACAAGCATATGCTTAATCGTATTTATGCAGACGCACACATACCCATCCATAGGACATAAGCTTAGAAGAGTCTTTTCCCCTAAAACCAGCATATTCTGACAATCTAGATTTGCTTTAAGAAACACAAGTAAAATAAAGTTTTCTATGCCATAGGATCCACTGGCAACTCACTAGTCAGTTAAGCATACTAATGTCATGCTGACTGGGGTTCCAGTAATTTCCAATGCCCAATGGAGCTGACTTCCTACAGAGTTACTCTTTTACTTCTCCAAAGTTTTTCAGCTTCTCACTTTTACACCCCACTGCCTCACTCAACTAAACTATTCGCCAGGGTGTCCCTTGATCCCAGAACTGGATGAGGAAAGACTAGGAGAACCAGAATGCTTGGGCAAATGTCGTGCTAAGATGTTGACAAATAAATATCCAAATACTACCCTATGGCTACCAGTTGGGCTGTGGAGCATAGCACAGAGACAGAAGTCAGAACACCCATCCTCATGACAATGACTGAAATCTGTCAACAGACACTGGGGAGGCTCACCTGGGATAAGAGCCGCTAGCTAGGCTGGAACCAGGAATGCCCCTTTCTCTGTGACGACCCCTTTTACCATAGCTAGTATTATCCTTTCTAGATTCCTGAAGCATTTTTTTCATATCTTTATTCTAGTATCTACCAGTGCAATATGCTTTACATTTACCCGACTCTCTTTCCACTAGACTGTGAACTTCCCAAAGACAAGGATATTTTCTTATTTCTGCCATGTGCTAGGTGTTCAATAAACATTTGTCAAATAAACTGAGTGCAGAACAATGCCTACAACCAAGTGTCATTCATGATGTAAAAGAATTCCTCAGCTTAAAAGTAAATTGCGAGTTTTGTTTTATTTTAGATATATGCATCCTTTAATTATGCTACCTTTGTTTGCATTGTCTGTTAAGGCTGACAACAAAAATGTACTTCTTTTCTTTTGTTCCTTCCATTAGAAAATTTTCATTCTCTTTACAAAATAAATATAACCTTTAAAAATTGTCATAAGAAAAGATAAATAGAAAATCAAAGAACAGATCCAAGAACACTTATTTTTAAATTACTCAATTTTTTCATGCTAGGATTCTTTTGAAATGTAAGTGGTACATGCGCACCCCCTAGTGGGAAATCTTTTCCTCAATACAAATTCCACAAAGAGAAAAACTCCCACGGAGAGCTTTTGTCAGGGAACAAATTCAACAATGTTGGCTTTCATGCTCTGAACCTGAAGGACTAATTAAAAGTAAAATGAAGTTCTTCGTAGCATTCACTTTTTGATTGAGTCAACATTTACTGAGTGTCTAATACTGCAAGTTGTAGTACAATACGCAAAGCCTCATAGTATAGGTATGAACTAAAGATGAGCCCACAGAAAGAGGCGTTGGACCGGACTGGGGAAACCAAAGAATTCACAGAGCTAACATCTCAGTTCAACTAGATATTGCATCGGGAGACTGGAGGAAAGGGGACAGGGTTCCATAAATATGGGACACACTTTTTAAATAAATATGTTTAGATTCTAATATGTTTAAATTTAGATTTATTTTTCTAAAGATTTTATTTATTTGAGAGAGAGAGAGAGCAGGAGCAGGGGGAGGGGCAGAGGGAGAAGCAGACTCCCCACGGAGCAGAGAACCCAATGTGGGACTCGATCCCAGGACCCTGGGATCATGACCTGAGCTGAAGGCAGATGCTTAACTGACTGAGCCACCCAGGAGCCCTAAATTTAGATTTAAAATAACTAACTGAATATTGTCAGTACTTCTAACTTACATGCAATATTTGTGAGTAAAGCCTAAATACATATATTTACTTATTTAACATGTATTAGATGGTATATAAAAGATGATGATATACATAGATGTATGTCTATAAGGATAGTATGTATATATGTGAGTCACCATAAATGTGAGTGCTACAAATGCAGAGTGATGCAGGGGGCCTGCATTGTCAAGCCAAATAACAGCAGCAGTATTACTGCAATGACACAATTTTTTGAAATGAGGAACAACTCCTCTAGTTTTCTTGCAGTTCTAACCAACTCATAATTCCAAGCAAAGTAAAGTATAGTCTGTTTACTCAATAGTTATATTCCTGGAAACTTCTGTGTAAATAAAAAAATTGTGAGAAAAAATTGCTGTGCATTTATATATAAAACCTGTCTAGGTTCTAGATGCAAAAATACGATAAACAAGCTTTGCCCATTCCAGACAAGGAGCAAGTGTTCATCCGACAAGACTTTCTCATACATTGCAGGAGAGCTAGCATCCCTGGGCCCTTCCTGCTAAAGCTAGTAGCAGCCATCCTACTTCTCAATTATTGGGACAACACTAAGTCCATAAAAATACCCACATAAATTTTCAAGCCCCCCCGCCAAAAAATACATGGTTGGCTGGGAGGTAGAATAGAGGGCATCAACACTGTTGCAGAACACTGATTTAAAGAATGGTTCATCAAACATTTTCTGTAAAGTATAATATATATATTTTATGATTTCCAAGCCAAGATGCAAGGTTGAGGCTATTATATAGGTCCTTAAATAGCAAAACTTCCTCGTGTAATTTTCATTCACAGTAATGATATGACTTGAAAAAGACAAGTTAAGCAGTATTATCATAAAGTTTAAATGCTTAAATCAGAATACCATTTTTGGATCATAGTCTTCATGCTACAGTATGAGG